ATTATCTTATTCCCAACAGGCTATTACATCGAATAAGGTGGAGTTTAGTTAAACTAAACAAAGCTGACCGGAACCAAACCTACTTCATTGAATTCTGAACCTAACGTTTCGCCTCTTATAAATAAGAGGCACTGAAGTTTGTATATTACCATTTAGCGGAATTGTTTCTTTGCCTTCTCCATTAGAAGAGCATGCACCAGTTTCATTTCCACCAAGCACAGTTCCTGCTGCTGCTGCCTCCTGCATAGTCTCTATTCACTGTGAGCTGTCAGAGAGAGATTTGTCATGATACTAAACCAATCATCAGCAGTTTGTCGGCCATAAAATGACTTTCCAGCTAATGCTGGACCTGCCAAAGCAAAACAGAGACCAAGAAAGCCAGCTGTACATATGCAAAAACGCTGAAGGAAAAGAGTACTCATACAATGATCTACATTACACATGTTGTAGATGGCAACGAATAAGGCAACAATGAACAAGGCAATGATGAGTAAAATAGACAAGCCCTAAGTTGGATTAATCACGATGCCAATTGCAACTCAGTATAAATGATATAACACCAAGTTTATGGTCATCATTAGCGAGCATCTATGACAAAATGAAAATATAATGTGTTCCTGGGCTTTAAAATTTTGAAACGTACACAGCAGTGAAATAACGCTGCAAAAATGTCCAAACCTATGACCACAAAAATTGCGTAAAAGTCTAGTGGAATATAATTCTTGATTGAATATGCGCGGGATGTCAACAGCACGACACAAATATAGTTACAGCCTCTATCACCAGCAATAAATAAGATACAAAAGTTACAGAACGTATCAGTGGCTTTTCTTCGCAAAAACCAAATTTAAAACAACAACATTTAGCACCCTCACAGCATAACTTGCAATTTCTCTCGTCGTTATCACTTATTTCCAGGTATGCCAAGATAAAATAGACCAGTATTGGACTAAGTAACATGTCACATATGATAGAACACCATAAAAGTGCCCTTAAGTAATGACTGCGTCCAGTGGCCTCGATGTCTGGAAAGCGTCCTGTTACGCATTGTGCAGAATTCAATTGCGCTTCTCGTAAGCTAGGATATACAGCAAGATCTTGAAGCTGCAGAATAATCAGACAGTAACGGTGTCCGTAAGAAATTTATCTATACTTATGGATATGTAAATTGGCGACTCAAAATAATATAAAAAATTATCAAAATAGATTGGTATCAGGTTCTTTTACCACGGAAGACCTCGATTAAAAAATGAGTTTCTACTTTTAGTTAGAATTTCGAAAATGGCTTCATGTGTTTACCATCTCATAGGGTGCCAGACCTCAAACTCAGCATAACGCATAAAAGTAGCGTTGAGATCCAAATGTAAATTAAAATAATTTGCC